GGCCTCCAAATCCATGTCTGCCAGCTCCACAGCAGAATGATAGAGAGTCACAAACCTGAGACTAGAGCAGTTAAAACCGCACGATGACCACAAGTTCCTTCTGCTAGGCCCAAGCTCACTGGAGAGCCTGGTACATCACACCCTTTGGGCTGGGATGTTATTACCTGTGATCCAGGATTTGGCCCCCCCTTCTTTCTGCATCCTGGGCAGAAGGTTTCCATCCCAGAGGAGCCTGCAGGGAGCTCAGCACTTTCTGTTAGCGATGCAGTGAGGTCTTGGTTTCCCCATGCAGCCTGAGCTAGACTCTGAGGAATGCTTTCTGATTACCTTGACATGGTCAGGAATCTTTACAATAAAGATTCTCAGAAAGAAGTGTTGAAGTTATAGACATAGATAAATATTGAAGCACTAAGTAGAGAACTGACACCTTGCTTCTATTAATAAGTCCGTTCTAGAAAGGAAACAGCCTATATTTAATACTCTTAAAAGTAAACTGTTCTGAAGTACATAGGCAAAGATCTTCAGAAAACTACACTAGGACATTCCCCCTATTCTCCTCTTTGTGTATAGGTTCTGGTATTCAGAGAAAAACCTGTAGCAAACAAACAAAGACACTTCTTTTTACTCTGCTGACGGGTAGCTAAAATACCACCACAATCTCACTTATGAAAATAGCTACATTCATGTAGACAAGGAAGGCTCAAGGCAAATTGGTTTCTTTAAGCCTAAAATTTAACCTTGGGTGTTTATGATGAGATAAAATTACATTCTGTAATTTATCTGAAGGATAATACAAAATAAAATATTCTGAATGAAAAAAATCTCTAATTTTTGGTCTAAAAGCATAGGATTTTTTTTCTACAAGCTTTTCATTGTATATTAGTCTTTCATGTACAATTTCAAGTGCTCTTTTACTAGATAAGCTGCCTTTTCTTCCCTTTTCCTTAAGGTGGTTAAGAACTGCAGCTTCTGACAAGTTAGGGAAGTCAAAACTCTGTTTGTGTTGTCCATGGGTCTTAGACTGAGGATTTCCTCACGCTTCCCAGAAATTTCAGGTGGCTTTTTTCAAAGCCAAGCAGACCACAGCAGAGCCCACCCACAAACAGCTTGGGCAAGAGTTCAGTGCTCCTTTCACAGACAGCTTTATGTGAGCAAAGATGAAAGCAGCAGAGATATGAGAAGGCCCTTTGTATGCCTTCCAAAATATGAGTAATTTCTGGGATACTAAGAGTGAAAACAAAAATATGCTTGATTTTTATCTGCCTGGTTTGATAGTCTTATTTATGAAAGAGAAAAATGCACTCAATTAGAGCAATTCTCTTCTTTCAGCTGATTTGCAGGGGCTCACTGCTGAAAACTCAACAAAAACCAATAGGTTATATTTTCTTCTACGTCTGAGTTCATAAGAAAATTTACTGGTGTGGTATTTGGTAGATGAATCATTCCCCCAGGGTCACACAACAGCAAAATGCTGAATGATGCTTTCAATCTTCTATCACCAAAACAAAGTTCCTTTTCACTGCGTGGATTTAGTCCCATGCCTCTGCCAGCAGTGGTTTCAGAAAAATAGTATTCTTATTTCAGCCAGTGACTTGCAAAATGTCTAAGGGGAGCATTTCAGCTACATTTCAAAGTCACATCTTCAGCCAGAGCTGCTGGGGCGATTCCTTTACACCTTACTGCTCTCTTAGGACCAGGAACCCAGTACTCAGGCACAGAAAAAAATACCAACGTGGTACATCTCTGAAACAGCCTGGCATGCCAAAACAGGAACCGGGACATTTTATACAGCCTGAAGAGTCTTTATTATGTACCAACATATATATAAATATGAAATACGCCATTTAAAAGTACACTGTCTTAAGGTCCGACATGAGTTAAAACCTTAACGCAAGCTGGCTGTCGTCAAGACCAAAGGAACCCAGAGCCGAAAGCTGCAAGCTAAATAATCCCATTTGCTTTGCAGAGAGAAACACGTTACCATGAGCCAAGTAAGAGGCAAGCAGGGTGGCATTCCCACTTACCCTCTTTCCATCTGTTAAGAAAAATTATGCCCTGCATCAACACCACTGTTGCCCTGGGCTGGACAAGTTGCAGTGATAGGAGGTGGCTGAAGGCAGGGTTGGGTCAGATCAACAACTGCCCAGCCAGGAGACAGGCAAAAACCTAAGCTTTTTGTGGTTTGGGATTTTTTTGGTGGTGCCAAGAGCAGCTCAGACCATTCCTGTAGAGTAAACTGAAAATATGCTCTGCTTCATTTACTTACAGGGTTAACCTGCTTCATATCACTAATACTGGAGCAGCAAAATAGAGCAGTCCATTCCCCTTTAATTTCTTACCAGTTTTGTTTTTACTTCTCAAGACCTATTCAAAATTTGCAACATTTCATTGCCTAGATACTATTTATTAAAATAAATACCAAGTGTCTTTATAAAAGCATCTGAAATATAACCTCCAAAGAATTACTGCCAAATTGTTAACAGAGATAAGTGCAGAGACAAGCACAAGATAATCACAAAGAAACCTCAGAACAGCAGTTAGGATGTTATTCACCCACAGTAAAAGCTTCTGATCCCCTCAGTCACGCGCTGACAAGTGCTTTGAATCTATTTTGTACTCTTTTTTTCCAGCTAACAGCCAGTTGATTATACATAGTCTGTATGCTTACATTCATTTTATTGCAACACGAGGCCAAACTCCACAGCACTACCATACAGCATTTTATGCCACTGCGTTTTAGTAGCTGGCTTTATATAGCGTGAAGGCAAATACATGTACCGGCTTTAAGTGTTCTGCTTTTGGACGTCATTAACTGTTCTTGTTCTGATACTGTGAAAGACAAATAAATCGATAACATCTTTTCTTCTTGTACAGCATTTTGCTTGCATGCTACCACATCCTCCTCTTTCACTCCGTCTCTACTCCTATCGTGCTAGTAAGCAGAAACCTACAAAAGCTTTTCACAATTCAAGGTTCAGCTAAAGAGTAAAAGAAATTACAATCCGGCACGTAAACAGATACTTTCATGATGTCAAACCCTGCTTTCCCCCACTCCAGGTGATCAGCTTGTAGAAAATAATAATAACAGGTAATCTCTGCAATCTTCCTGGGTTTATAAAGGTTTCTTGCCAGCTTTGTGCCTTTCTCACTTCCCTCTGAAAATCCTTTTCGTTACCCACGTCCAGACTCTCTGTTTCTGCGAGAGACTAATTTCTCTTTTTTTAAAAAAAGACCCATTAGTTTAAGTATTAATGGCAACCTTCTTTTAAAACTCACAAAAAAACTTTTCCAACCCCCCCCCCGCAGTGCCACCGTGGACCCTGGGGCGCAGTGC